TCCTAAAATTAGCAACGTGGACTTGATGCATATAGAGTGTACTATACTGTGATGCAGTACTGATTATACAATTATACAAATTAAGCACACACAGCAGCATGTAATATTTCTGTCCTCTTCTGATTGCACTTAACAATGCCAGCTGTTTGTTAAACTGGTCTTGAAAAATGTATTTTGTGTGAGGTTTAATGTGCTATTTTGTAGAAATGGTTCATATTGCCATATATTTGTGTTTTAAGCGCTTTTATCGATCGTGACAAGCTGTGGAAGTTTTTTATTTGATAAATATCCGTGAGTTAAGAGGTCAAGGTCACCTTGCAATATGTGCATAATGTTGTAACGTTATACTGAGAGACCCTTGTGGTAGCTGCCACATCATTCACTGTCTCATGTCTCTCGTGTCGGGTGCTGTGCTGTGCTGTGCCACCTGTGGTACAGTTACATCACGGCGCGTAACCTTGAAGATGAAGTAAAGCCCAGAGGTATATACTAGTATTCAACGTCGACAGCTTTAATGAAACAAATAGGAAATTATGCATTTGCTGCCTGACAAACATTCCAAACAGGTAAGTCGTGATTAAGCGTAAACGTAGAATACATTATCAAAACGTAGCATATACTATCATGACACTTCCACTATTTCATATTGGTTAAGGGCGTTTCTATGTGAGCTGCCTACCTTGACGAAACAAGACATTATCCAATCACGCTACACTTACATTTCCCGAATAAATCGACGTGTAACAGTAGGAATGTGACTGCAGAGATACTTGCGAAAATGCCGTGTAGGAAAGCTGGTAAGGTAAGCAAACCGATTGTCATCTGATCGTACAAATATACTGTTCCTACTGTAAAATTTGCCTGAAGTATTGAATAATTCCTAAAAGTGACATCTTTCTTACACACTCAGAAGGTGATTGCTTGACGTTTGATAAAAATATTTAGATTAAGTGTTGATTTATGTGGCTTAATTCAAAGTCATAAATATGGGCTTGAGATACCTCTTGTGTGTACCGGGTACGTAATGTAACATACAATGTATAACGGGCACCTTCCTAATGTGTACAGACGACTTGTGTGACTAAAATACCTCATATGCGTTAAGCATTTCATAAATATAATAACGTTTCTGCTATATCGAGTGCTTAAGCCGGCAACTGTAGCGTTACAACTGTATTCCTGATTAAAATGCCGCTAAATCACACCCCTATGCAAGAAAACAGGCATTCCCTAATGAGTCCGGTGTTTGTGCTATATGATCCCGAGTTGTTGTTGACTTGCTCTTGCATGTGCTTATGACGGATTGCTCACATTATCATTATGATCACTCTCTGATGGTAATTCAAAAACACCTCCTCATAAAGTTGTCGGAATCGTAATATCAGTTCAGTTGTTAACCGAGATTACTTAAGAATATGGGTAAGATTGTGTCGCATTCCTCAAATACATCAGAAAGATCCTGTACCTTTTGAATAATATTCTTCTGCGTCATGTAATTTAAATGTTATTCTACATTCTGGGGTTTCTTGACGAGTCACAAGTCAGAAAACCTTCCTTATATTCATAAATTCATGACATAACTAGCCTTGTATTCACGCCTATTCGACTCGTAGAAATAAAACAAAACAAAACGTATGGTCGGGTGTGTCAGATGTAAAATAGGATATAGCCACGTTATAAACGCTGTTGATTGGCCTGACAGCACGACTTTCAGCATTCAAAGGAGAAAGTAGCACAGTGTAGATGCATTGCGAAATCCAGCTTAGGTTTCAAGGGTTCAGTATCGCTTATCATATTGACTTGATCGGGCTGTGTACACATAACGCTATGCGAGCATGCTCGGGTATATAAGAGGAAAAGCAGTGAGTAATGTATGGTGGCTGGGTGGGGACATCACTTTCCCGCCTTACGGTCTTGAGAAAGCGATAATATGACACGAGAAAGCGATAGCACGAGAGAAATATCGTCTTCTCGTCTCGTGCTATCGCTTTCTCGTCGTGCTATCGCTTTCTCGCGACCTTAGCTGAAGGCGACAAGGCGATGTTCTCTCTCGGCCACCTTCCTGTTAGCTATTAGAGAAGGAGTGGGTGAGTGAGAATGGTTTTACGCCGCTTTTATCAATATTCCAGCAATATCGCGGCGGGGGATACCAGAAATGGGCTTCACACATTGTACCCATGTGGGGAATCGAACCCGGGTCTACGACATGACGAGCGAACGCTTTAACCACTAGGCCCTATTAGAGAAGGAGTCAAACAGATCAAGTGGTCAGACTTCGATGACCATGTGTCATTGTTCTCGACGGCCTGGTACGTCGCCCATAACCTCAATCACAGGTTCGTCTGGTCCAGACACCAGCATTAAAATTCCATCTTCGTATGACAGGGACAAGAAACAAAATCATAGAGGACGGAGAAGGCATTTGGCCAACGTATATCGCATCATGTACTTCATCAAGCACGCAACGCCCCGTAGTCAACTACGCATTGAATAGTATTTCCATCAGATCAATCCGTGTAACACATATCTTAGATAATATATGTAGTTTGTTAGTGCCTGTATCATCAGTGAACGCTTGTCTACATAGATAGGTATATACACTGGTATAAATGGTTTAAGATTTAGAAGCAACGAGTAAACAAACTTAACTCAATATCAACAAACTTAGACAGGAAAATATCACCCTATTTCGACTTGAATGCTGTAAAAGCAGGTGTCACATAATCGGGGGGGGGTTGGGAGGGGTTGTTTCGTTGCTGTCTTACGCTACCAGTCACCAGTTGACTCTACTGCTCCTGGGAAGACATATGATATAGACATGCCTGTACCAACCTTGACCTGGGCGATGTGTGGAGATAATAATAAACTCATACAATATGGTATCCCTGTCTTATGCCCCACATTGTATAGCTGAGTCATGTAGGGATCCTCTCACCTTTCATCAGACCATCGGTGTGCGGTTTGATCTCACAGAGACTCAGGAAGGTGGACTTACCCACTGACTACTCACTGACACTTAAAGATGTCCTTTGCTTGACCCTCAGCGGGTCAACAATTTGGGTTGTATTTCACTGAGTAGCCATGACCATGGTTAGAATACTAGGATTTGTGTGGAGAATACGCTCAACTCTCCCCCCCCCCACACACACACACACACAAACACGCACCTCCACCACCACCCCATCCCCCAACCCGACCCCTACTCGTCACACACGCACATGGCGACCGAGATCCGCCGTCAACAATAGCAAGTCGTCCTGATCAACGTGTCTGTCATGCGTGTGATGACAACAAACCATAGAATGTGTCCCCGTTGACATTCATTCATTACACAATCAGTCATAACATCCCATCACAGCTATTCAGTCAGCTACTGAGTCTGCAGCGACGGGAAACAGTTGTGATGTTAGGGTTGACGCCGTTTGAACTGTACTTCAGATGCCAGGCTGTGTTAAATAACACGCTGGTCAAGTTCAAAATGTTCTCATTGGTGTGTTATACCTCTCTTGTGCACTTCTTAATTCGACTGGACGTCTACTCATAGCATGCCACCATTCACACCAACCTGAAAGGTGCATAAAGTCGCCAAAGTGCCCATTGTATGTAATAGAATGGGGGTAAAATACACTGGATAATCGACGAGAGCTATGTAAAATCTCTGAGCCACACCCAATTTGTTATCCATAGCAGAACATGTCGCTACTAAGGGACGCAACTCTGATAAGTGAAATATTACGGTGTCTTACCCAACTTGGCCGCCCTTGATATCTACAGAATCTGTTGCAGACTAAGATGAGTAATATTATTGACATACGTCTGTGAAAGCATGTGAGTGATAAAAGGGGTCGCGAGATTAAATGTTGCCATTCACTAACCACCAACCGCACGCAACCATCATTGTGGCTGTTTAATGCACGACAAGTTCTGTTGTCACCACCTGAGCAATATTATTCAACCTTAATGTGGTCGCAAGTTTATGTAGCTCGCATGCACATGGTTGTACTTGTGAGGACTTGAATGGTGGCCCACTGAGAGGTCATACCAGTTTTGTTGTGCCAGCTGATAGTTTTAACATCGATACTCCACTCGCACATATTAAACTGTGATATAAACATATTTTATTCATGACATATTAACATAACATGAATATCGATTGGAACAAGTCAACGGCATATCAAACTGACTCCGTGCCTACCAATTCTTGGGTTACCCCTTTAATGCCGAGTGCCAGGCAGGGCAACATCTTGTGCTGTCATTGGTGTTAATAGTGAATGAGTTTATTGTTAATAGGTAATTAAGACACTGCCGGACACTGCCAGAACAGACCTTCAGCTCTGCGTACGTTCAGCCCTCTACACCACGCAGGTGGTCGCTGTAACGATGACGTCAGGATGCATTTACCCGGTGCATCTGATGCATGATACTACATTAGTAACACAAACAGCTGGTGTACCGCATGCCTGGCAATAATGGCCTTAATTACAGACGAGTCATCACTGGATCAATTCCAGGCTTAATAGCGCTAACATGTTCTTATCAATACTTTACACACGTTTCTATGGATCTTTCATCAGTTCTTTTCTTGTCACAAGCAACTCTGATCAATATTTTTGCCTCATTTTTCACACATCGTTCTAAACGTTCAATAGTTTTGTCGCACCTGAATCATGACACTTTAAGGAGCGGGTTGTTTATGATTCTGATAGTAACGACACGGTTTACCTTGACGTCGGGTGGATATAAATACACAGACCACGCAATTCGTGACAGAAAAATCTTTAAAGATAACAGATTTCTAGGAGACGGCTGATAAGGATCCCATATAACGCCAGCATATTTAACCACCTCAGTGACTGACCTCTTGCGTGGCGACATACGACCGCCTCTGATCTGTGGAATGTAACCTCGATTTCCAATTGTCCTGGTCGTTCTCAGTGGATGCACACACCACATTAGTGGTCGCCTCTGGACGTTAAACAGCATTCAGCTGTCCACTTCACATGAGAACGTACAATAGTCTTTAGCGGTCACATGTGGATGTAGAACAGGCTATAGCGGTCACATGTGAACAACAATACCCGTTCACTCTGGATGGCATTACCTGTCCAAGTAGATGAACAACAGTGTTACCTGTCCAAGTGGATGAACAACAGTGTTACCTGTCCAAGTGGATGAACAACAGTGTTACCTGTCGATGGGGATGAACAACAGTGTTACCTGTCCATGGGGATGAACAACAGTGTTACCTGTCCAAGTAGATGAACAACAGTGTTACCTGTCCAAGTGGATGAACAACAGTGTTACCTGTCCAAGTGGATGAACAACAGTGTTACCTGTCGATGGGGATGAACAACAGTGTTACCTGTCCATGGGGATGAACAACAGTGTTACCTGTCCAAGTGGATGAACAACAGTGTTACCGGATGAACAACAGTATTACCTGTCCATTTGGATGAACAACAATATCTACCTTCCCAAGTGGATATACCTGACAATATTAACCGCCTATTTGGATCGATAACTTTACTAAAAGGTAAACGTATTTCCATAGACATGTTGAGCAGGGTGTTTCCATGTTCAAACCTTGTTCATTGTGCTTGAATATAGCGAGCGAGTGTTTTGGTTTTTTTAACAAACACAATAGTTCCGCTATATGACAGCCGTCTGAAGATAATCGTGCTGCACCAGTCAATAGCATCATGCACATCAATCTATCCAATTGTATTGACATGTGTCAGCGAGACTGACCACCCGATCCCGTCAGTCGTCTTTTACGATTTGTTGCTGAAGACTAGTTCAACCGCTCTTGAAAACCAACGTTCGATCGTGCTGAATACCTTCAGTCGTATGGCGACATTGCAACGTTTCGGCTCGGGTTTATATTGCGAAATTCAGTAAACTGTAAATAGCTAAAGGTCTGTGTCCACGACGAGGTGGAACAACGTGTTTCGTGCTACAAAGTACTACACGTATTCTAAACCACACGGTATATAGATGTACAGGCACGACATTAGCTCATAAACTCTTTGACTAATTTAACTTTGACCTCTCAAAACATCACTATGAACTATCGCATACGACAAGCTCACCTCATTTCTCAATCTGGTTATTCAGGAGTATTGTTGTGAGATGTGTCCTACATAGAGCTGTGTTTATTTGCAATACCGCCAATACACCACGGGTGTATTGAATGATCGAGTCAGGGCAAGACATGGTTCTTTGTGCGTGATGATTTAAACATCGCTTCACGATGTCGGTTCACAAGACACGCCCTCACGTGACTGGGTTGAGCACCCGGGCGTCACAATGCTAATACCTCTGTCACCATGGTATTAGACCTTGCTTGACTCGCGGAAAGCTGAGAGTCATCACCCTGAGACAATTTCTATCAATTTATGTTGGAGAGTAATAAACAGAAAACTAAACTCGCGTCCGTGAAAAACCATTTTTATTAAACTCGTGAAAGATTTAGTATCATACTCCCTGTCGTTCGTTTGATACCAAATCATTAACTCGTTTAATAAAAATGGTATTAAACGGGCAAAAGTCGTTTATAGTCTGTTTGCAGTGAAAACGTACCGATGAATTTCACTTTAAACAAAAGAGAAACTCGAATAAAGTGAAATGGAGATTGCGAATCCTCATAATTTTACCTTGCCAATTGAACATTTAAATCTCAGAATTTTATTCAACCTAGGATAAAAGTTGGTTAACAAACGATTATAGTTTCAAATCGCTATTATTGGTTTGTATTACAAAGGGGTATGCATATTAAATGAAACACCGAGAACAAGTAGGGTTGGTCTATGTTAACGCTCATCACATACCGCACGTGCATTTGTTTCACTGTTCCAACTACTGCGCTTACCCCCTTGTAATACAAACCAATAATAGTGATTTGAATTTATGATCGTTTGTTAAACAACTGTTATCATAAGTTGAATAGAATTCTGAGATTTAAATGTGCAATTGGCAAGGTAAAATTATGAGGATTCGCAATCTCCATTTCACTTATTTTATTTACTTTTTTGTTTAAAGTGAAATTCATCGGTACGTTTTCACTGCAAACAGACTATAGTCTCTTCCATATTGTGTAACAACAGATGATGTTGTCGAAAAATCAAAAAGATCGGCAGTGTGTGTATTTTGCTGTACACTAATGCAGTTTATGCACAGATGTTTGCACATCAGTGCCATGATAATGTGTAGTGTCCTAGGCCAAATGTTAGAAAAGTCCCTATCTTTTAGGATCTCTCAGCAGCAGTAAAGCATTATCCAGTAATTGGTATGACAACTCCCACCCTCCAGAGATTCTTGTCAATGTGGAACTAGACACAGAATGTATCAGGTTGCTGAAAACAAACAAGGATTACCCCGTTGTTGAAACAGTGTCCACATGTTCATAGACCAACTGCATGAGCATGAACCGCATGGTTTAATGGACGGTGACAAGCACTGATGTTCAACATGATCAGGATATGCAGTATGGGTGATAAGGCCTGGTGTATCACATTACCTGATAATGATGTTATCTCTACATTTGGCCTAGGAGTATGTAGTCATAGATTAAGTATAATGAACTTGTTGTACGACCTCCATTTCATGTATCTGAATATGTGCATATCTGATAAGATGTAAAACTTATAAAATGTTGGATGGATGTTTATATAACAGTGATAGGATTAATTTTACTTCTCCTGAGGTTTTATCAATTTTAAAATATATTCTATAACCTTATACTTTTACATCCTCAATCCAGTTCAGCTACATCGTTGTTGTAACCTGCATACTTATTCTCAGGCGTTCTAACATCCACGCTGTCGCAACCGGGCACGCAACTGTGGGAGATCATTTAATGTTAGGTCACTGCTCCTTGTATCCAAAACACACGGCACTTATCTTATGTTAATTTCATATAGGTAAAACATATACTAAATAAGGTTACGCATGACTGAGAATCCCAGCTAAAAAGCATCATTTGCATAGACCAAGAGTCATCACATACCTCCACCCCCAGTGCCCCCTTTCTGCAGCAAACATGCATTGTGTGGTATTAGACAGATCATACTACCCACACTTTAGTACACAATGTACTTTCTGCCATAAAGCAGGTCACCATTCTACAATGAATACCCAAGGCAATAGGGAGGGACTTGCACCTGATTCTCAGACCTCTGGGATCAGGCATGAGAAACCTGTGGTCTTACTGGTGGCTGAACACTGTTCCAAATAAGGTGGAACAAGTGGAGACAATGACACCAGTTGATACAAGTATGTGCAATCATTTCGACTGATGCTGACACTGCCCAAGGCACACACACCTTCTCCCAGTCAATCTTGCTCTTCTGCAGTACTTCTTTGATGACTTTACTCTCTCTAGTATTGCTGGCGATACAACTTTCAGGAAAGCTGTTACCATTCAAAAGTTCAGTATCTATGGTCATGACATTGTGAATGTTTTGGCAAATGATAAAAAATACTCTTATCTCAGTCTAAAGCGTATTACTGTATTTCAATGTATTTCAACCCCTGCTTGACGGTCAGATCACTTTACCAAGCTCTTGATCTGATACTAATGATTGTCATCGCTGCTTGGGTTACTTCAGTTCTCACCATTATTTTGTTCATTTGGATGGGTTTTTTTCGTGCACTCTTCTCCTTCTCATCTACCAACGCAATTCTCGGACTCACAACGGTCTTCTTCTTAAGCTCACCACTGGTCCAGAATGTGTCACTGTTCCAGCTCTAACTCTCAGTTTCTGTCCTACCTAATGTCACAATAAATGTCCTTACAAGGTTTAACAGCTTTGAGTCAGGATATTTCTTTCCTACCCTTACTGTCAGCTGGTCCGTATTCACGGTGACAAATCAGTTGACCAAAACGTCTCACTCTGACCCGAATTCCTTTTTGCACTTTCCGTAAGCCTTTTGCTTCCTACATCCTAATGGTTCATGCTGGTAGATACATAATTATTAATCATTCCTCCATGTTAAAAGAATTTTAAGTGGACTGTCTGAACAGTTCATACCCTTTGTCATATTATTATATTGTTTATGCATTCTGTTAAAGGCATTTTATGCATTTAATTGTATGCATTTGTACTTAAGTTACGTTTGTCTTTACAGTAAAATAAAAAAAATTGTAAGCTTTTGTGGTCAAAAGCTCCAAGGGTTTTATCAGTTTCAGAATATATTTTATTACCTTATGCATTACATCATCAATCAAGTTAAGTTTCAACGTTGTTAGAACCTGTATACAGTAATTATTCTCAGCATTATAACAGTCAGTCTGTAGCAAGGCTAGCCACTCCGGACATTATCAAATGTTAGGTCACTGCTTTTTGTGTCCTAAACAAACAGCGCTTATCGGTGTATCTTGGGGTGCGGAGCTCGAGGAGCTACTTGGGAGGTGGTATAGCCTGCAAGACGCTATACCGGATTTCCCGTATTTAAGCCCTGGGCTTATTGGTGTTCGGAAAAAAGTCCCCAATTTGCAAGACTTTGCTGACATTTACTGAGTTTTTCGCTGTCTAATATTGGTGGCCACACTATGGAGAAACTCTGGGATTGATTTCCTCCCTGAAAGCAGCTAAAATCACATTTTATTTGACAAACAGAACTCAAACAGTACTCCACAAGAAAGTTTATTAAAACAGTCTTGGTGTGAACACTAAGTATTCTTTGATTCAAGCAGCTAAAATCTAAAATTTTGACAAACAGAACTCAAGCTAAATCCTGGATTTGAAAGCCCAGTTAAAATATCATTGTTCTTGGTTATTTAATTCTTGTCTTTAATACACAATCACTTTTCTCAACAATAACTTTGCTGTCAACATCCATTTAATCTGTTTTCACAATAATAGGACTTTTTTCCGGAGGACTTTTTTTCCGGGACATTTTTACCGAGGACTTTTTTTCCTATAATCGGCTTATTAACGGAAAATGACCCTTCTCGTTCACAAATAATATGCCCATAATTAAGCCCAGGACTTAAATTCGGGAAATGCTTGTAACTGAAGACAATGATTCTAAGACACGATAAAATGGAATGAACTTTAATATAAGCGGAATGATACAGAAACCTGAACCTTAGACAATCATTAAAGAACTGTCATAAACCTGAACTTGAATGACGCCCCCCTTTGGATGAAATATTGACATACTTTACTGTTCTTTGGGAACGTGTCCTATATGTTATTATCATATTTTATTGCGACTGCGTGTGAGTCATATGGATTGAGATTGGGTATAGAGTACCTGACCTCTTTTGTGGCTCGAAAAAGGTTATGTAACAATGAAAACCTCTACTCATGCAGTAACTGCATCACAAACGTGCACGACAAACGTTATATATGCTGAAGTTTGCCATGTGCATTTACAAAGGGACGTCACTCTAAACAATAACATTTGAAATCTTAATTTAGGCCCATGGACTTAATAACGGGAAAATATCCCGTTTTTAAGCCCATGGGCGTAATTACGAGTGGGCTTAAATATGGAAAATTCCGGTACGCAATAGATAAAACTCTGTAAGCCTTGGTATAGAACAACATTCAATCGTTTCAGCTGCTTGTATAAATGGGACTTTGTTTAATACATCTGCTCGACAAACGACAATCGATCACAAATACTTGTTTACGTCATAAGCAGTTACGCGAAATAGGCTAAGATGAGATTTAATTAAGTTGAAGTCTTTTCCTGAACTGTTAGTAGTTAGTAGCTCTCCCGGTCGCTTATCGGGAATTCCATTGTAAACGTAATATTTATCAGCGGGGAGTGGAGTGGGGAGGCGATGCGGCAGGGGGGTCTGAGTCTACCTGTGAGGAACTTTGCCAGTTTTAGATTGCTATCACCCTGAGATAATGGATACTTTACTCATACTCAGACTACTCGCTGTGAGATCACCAGTCATCAGTGCTGATCGACAGGCAGAACCCTGGATATGTACAATTGCCACTGTCGATATATTTACAATGCCATATGTTCACTTTCATCGGATGTATCCAAGCCAACAAACCAGACCTTGTCTTGTTTATGAATGAATGAAACTGTCATTGAATTTATTTTCTGTGTCTTTTGGCACAAATGTAATTGACAAGATTCAGGAAAACCATCGCAAATATGCGGACCTCGCTTACGAAATGTTAAAAGTTTTGCGACTCATATTGTTCTTGGTGTCTGTGGTTTGGCACCTTCCAGTGTCTTGACTGACACGTCGAGAGTACCCGGAAACGCTGCCAGGAACACAACGTGAAATAAATGTACTTAAACTATATGAACTTTACAAATCTATTCCTTTGTATAATTCTGTGATATAATCTGGGGTAATGGTTGTTCAAGAGTCACGATTTCACCTCAGCCCTTGTTTCCGTACATCCAACCACTACGTGGCTGGGCATATTGACATCGTGTATTTCACTTGCAATTGCAACATTATATTACAAGGCTACCAAGTATATAATTCTTCCATACAGTTTTCATCTATAAAGTTTATTCGGAATCTGCAAGCGTAAAACCTGACTTGATTGGAAACACATATTGAAAAACAATCTTTTTAACTGTTATGCTGATTTTTATCTCTTAGCGCAAACCAGTCAACCAGTCAACCAGTCAACCAGTAGTGGATCTGTTGTCCTTCCCATAAATAGAAATGGAACTAATGTGCCTCCACTTTTTCTGCCTAAATCTAGTGTTAATTATATTTTTATGGGATTGATATACATGTCTTTGTAAGCGAGGGACAATCGCTTTTTATGGGATACGGTATATTTGATTTTGCTTTTTTTGCAGGTGTTGGTGCTACCCTTCAGGACAATGAGGCAATACAGTCGCTATTTTCTCGGAATCGTCGTGGCCTGTGTGTTTGTGTACATGTGTCTCTTCTTTGTTAATCCGTCTACATATGTAAGTTGTATCAACCAAGATTAACAAAAACACTTCAAACTGTTTAGTCAAACCTATTTACTGTGTATCTTTGCATTTTCATTGACATGACCTGAAGGTGATTATATTTGAAGAGGTGAGGTGAAGTGAGGTGAAATTGGGTTTAACGTCGTGCTTGAGAATATTTCGCTCATATGACAACGTGCGTGCGTGTATGTGTGGCTGCTTGTACAAGCCCAGACTTAAGCTGGTTTTATAGTGCTAGCCCACTGAGATACCATGTCGCAGTGAAGCATGATTACCCCACTCAGACACATTATACTGACTCCGAGCCGACCAGTCCTTGTTGTACCCATTAATGCCGAGCGCCAGGCAGGGACCAACAAGTACCACATTTTAACGTGTTTTGGTATGACGCGGTCGGGGATCGAACCCGCGACTTTCCGCTCTCCGGGCGGACGCTGTAACCACTACACCACGGAGGCAGTATATTTGAAGAGGTAAACTGTCCAGTAGTGGTTAAAGCGTTTGCTCGTCACGTCGAAGACCAGGGTTCCCCACATGGGTACAATATGTGAAGTCTAAGCTATTTCTAACATATGTCATATTTGGGATTACACTTTTTCAGTAAAGTACAGATTCTAGTACTTTTGTTGGGTTGAGTCCCATGCAGGATTTGAACCCACACCCTCTGAGTCAGCCACCTAACCCGCTCAGTCACCGCGACTTTCACCGCGAAAGTACTAGAATCTGTACTTTGCTAAGAAAGTGTAATTTCTAATTTTATTGCCGACCCCCCCCCCCCCCAAATCTTCTTTTGTTTTCATTCAAACCCCGCCGACTCGAACCTATAACGTACCGCTTCGTCATATAATGTTTTTATCTTATAATAAGTCGCTGCCACAAGGCCAAGAACGAGAGAAATTGTAATAAGAATTACAATAAATGAGAACCAAGAACATTATTCAGATAATTTTGTCTTTATTAATTTTTTTCCCGACCGACCGACCCATGTTCAGAATTTGGTGGCTACGTGGAGCATATAACAAAAAGGTGCCCTAACGTCTAAAACCAGATTCCAAGTTATTCTTCGTGTGCATGTCATTTAACTTTCCCACATTCAAACATGTTTAGAAGCATGAACGTGTCCCCTTTCTGTAGCCACTATAGAAGAGTAAGAATGGTACTGCTGACTACGAAACAGAACGTCTCCTTTGATGCAGAATGTTTCATATTGATAGATCAAAAAGAGGCTTATTTCATCAATGACCACTACACGCATTATCATATCATCCTATACCATTCACAACAAATTAAAATATTTTTGTACCTTTTTGCTATGAATATTGACTAGACATCCATAATTTACAGCTTGTTCAGCTTGACCTGATCAAGTGAATACTAATGCTTTGCGTGACAATGTCAAAACTGGTTGGGTCTATTATTGTGAAGGGGTGCACCTCTGTCAGTTGATTGTCAACATGTCCGAAAAGCCGAGACAAGGTCGCCGTTTAACATTCTCTGCTCCCCTATTTAATGAGGATAACTCGACCTGCCGTTTGTGCCATTTGACCTCCTGGGTCATGCATATGTAGAGTTGCTCAGGTCAAGCTGGACAAACTGTAGGCATATGGAGGATATACAATAATCAGCATACGGTGTAATTTCTTCAATCACTTGTGAGCCTTGGAGGGAAAAGGACACCGTTTTCTTTTTCGTTAGGGACACATTCTTGTCAGATTCATAGACAAAAGTAATGAGATTTTTCTTTCTGTAATGAGTCAGATTTGTATATATCTATTTATTCGTTTACTACGCCATGTTTTCATGGACTCGCCATTCCATCTATCCATCCATTCACTAATTCATTCATTCGAACTTGTACTTTCAGTCCTGAATTAATTCTTTCTCGCGTCCCATAAAATATTCTGTGGCGATTTCAAATTGAGATGATGTCTAACATGTTTTGATTAATGCTCCTGTGTTTATTTTCAGAATGCCAACAGAGCTGTATCACCATTGGCGAATACATCCCTACACCTGATTACCAATAAAATAGTATCAGAGGCCAAGGTCAACATCACTACTCAACTTCCGTCCACAACTCTTCAACCTACTAAGCCTTCGTCAGCAAAGCCCAATGTAACCCTCACAACCCCAAAGCCTACCCTGCCCAAGCCAGTGCCTAAACCTCCAAAGGTCAGACAACACACATGTTCGCACTGCATACTACGAGGTCAAAAATCATTATTTGTAAACTTGACGGAAGTCAGCTGGGGACACTGGCACTTACTCTTGAAGGGTCAGTGGTCAAAATAAGCGACTTGCAATAATTTCTGAAAGTTCGTGGGCAATCAAAAGATCTCTTAGCTTCCAAAACTGAGCTTCTGTTGACCTTTATTCACAAATACGCTGCTCAGAAACTAACCACTTATCCCGCTAATAAAGTAATGAAGTAGATATGAAGATGGAGGATTGAGAATGATTGATACAAGTAGATTTATTGATGCTTTGAAATTATCAACCTTAAGATTATATTTAAAAAAGCGAAAATAAAAATCCATGCAATATACCTTTCAAAGGCATATTTAACTTTGGAGCTAATTTTGAAACTTTTCTTGAAATTGAAAACCCTTTTTGGCATGAGGTGCTAAAAGCATGGAAACTATTTCACAAACAACATTATGTTGACCCAAATAACATTAATGAAATTCTATCCCAACCACTATGGTTCAATCACAACTTCAAAAACTCTACATATTTTATAAAGAATTGGGCAGAGAAAGGGATTATGAATATTAGGGAAATATGTGATGAGAATGGATTACTATCAATAGAATCTTTAAAAGAAAACTATCATATCAAAGGCACTTTTTTAGATTTCAGATATTTACTGAACATATTACCTGAATCTTGGAAATATACTTTAAAGCACTGTTCCTCTATTCCAATCAGTAATTTGAATGTTAACCAATGCCAGATACATTTAGTAAAAACATCCAAAGGCTGCAGAACTTTTTACGATAAACTTATTTGTAATGATAAATATCCAAACATTTGTAATAAATGGCAGCTTTTATTTCCTGAAACTGACTTTGATTGGAAAAATATATTTACAGTATATAGAAAGGGATTGCAAGATACAAAGCTTATAGACTTTCAATATAGATTTCTATAAGGTATTATTTACACAAAAAGGAATTGGTCAAAATGAAAAAAATTGACAACAGTTTGTGTTGTTTTTGCAAAGATTTAAATGAGAGTGTGTGTCATGTGTACTGGGAATGTCAGGAGACTCAAACATTTTGGATAAACCTACAAATTTGGCTTAACAATTATTATCCACATCCATTGAAATTATCAAAAAACATTATTTGGTTTGGTACTCAACATGAAAATAGATTAGTAAATCACATCATCATTGCTGCAAAGAGACATATTCACTTATGCAGTTTTTAAAATATGCTTCCAAATCTAACTTTCTATATAAAAACTCTAAAAGACATATTCTTTGTGGAAAAACATATATCAGCAAAAAATAATAAAATATATAATTTCCAACATAAATGGAGCCTTCTCTCCCCAGTACTTAGATGACTCAAACTGTATTGACTTGTACCTTACATTATCTGTAAATTATCTATTTAATGAATTATGCATGTTTATAAATATATTAATACAAAAATATCTCACCTGTACATCTGTACATTATCAATTTAATGAATTATGCATGTTTATAAATATATTAATACAAAAATATCTCACCTGTACATCATGTAGCCATATTACTTTAAGCCGTACGTATCACGGCTTGGTATATCTGCAATATTGTAATCTTGGGAACCAATAAAAAAAATTAAAAAATTAAAACAAAATCCCGCTAATACATATAACGTTTGAAACCTTACGCTGTTTATTCGTTCCACGTTCGAGTGAAAGCAATTAAATGCATAGACAATAAAAAGAATCTGATCATCTGTTTGATAGGCGTTTTAGAAGATGATGAATAATAAGGAAGGTAAGATACTTTATGGATGCCAACTTCTTTGTTATGCTTGACAACGGGATAAGAACCTATACCGAAACGTCATAATATAATAGAGAAGTTGGCATCCTTAAAGTATCTTACCTTTCTTAAGAATCTGATCAATCTCCCTGGGTGTATATGGAAATAGGGTATGTTTATCTACTAAATCTCCAGCAGTTTATTTAGTCATTCATATGCTTCTCATTCGGTGATGAAAAATGGAAATGTAATTTTCTTGGTGGCAGACACTAAAAGCATCTCAAAAGTTGTCAGTCATTTCATAAAGCATCTTTTCAAAAGGCGATAACTCTATAGGTTTCACGAATGAGTTGTAAACATGTATGTTTTCCGAATTATCTGTTGAGCGTTTCATTCAGCAAGTCTATTAGGATGGCACATTGAATTGTAACTCATGGAAAATCAATAATTATGTTTCCAGATATCGCTATCACAGCTATAATAAGTCCCAAATACAAACAATATTTGTTTTCCTAATGAAACATATACCGTGACCTTCCTTCTAACAAAGGTGTTAATCTGTACTTAAAGCCTGAAGCCTGATAAGTGATAACACAGCACGTACATATGCAATACATAAAGCTGTATGTTTCTGTGTTCAGTCAACGTAAGATATAAAGCTGTATGTTTCCTTGTTCAGTCAACGTAATACATGTTTCCTTATTCAGTCAAAGTAATACATTAACATGTATGTTTCCTTGTTCAGTCAATGTAATACATGAAGCTGTATGTTACCTTGTTCCATCAATGTACGACATGAAGCTATATATTTTCTCGTTCAGTCAACGTAATACATAAAGATGTTTCCTGATTCAGTCAACGTAATACATAAAGCTGTATGTCTCCTGTTTCAGTCAACGTAATACATAAAGCTGTATGTCTCCTGTTTCAGTCAACGTAATACATAAAGCTGTATGTCTCCTGTTTCAGTCAACGTAATACATAAAGCTGTATGTTACCTTGTTCAGTCAATGTAATACATAAAGCTGTATGTCTCCTGTTTCAGTCAACGTAATACATAAAGCTGTATGTCTCCTGTTTCAGTCAACATAATACATAAAGCTGTATGTCTCCTGTTTCAGTCAACGTAATACATAAAGCTGTATGTCTCCTGTTTCAGTCAACGTAATACATAAAGCTGTATGTTTCCTGTTTCAGTCAACGTAATACATAAAGACGTATGTCTCCTGTTTCAGTCAACGTAATACATAAAGCTGTATGTCTCCTGTTTCAGTCAACGTAATACATAAAGCTGCATGTCTCTTGTTTCACTCAACGTAATACATAAAGCTGTATGTCTCCTGTTTCAGTCAACGTAATACATAAATTTGATATGTCTTTAATTTAGTTCGTGACTATTCTTTTTTTAGATTTTTAGATATATAATTTTAGATATTATTTAGATTATCCATCTTTTCTCTCATTTCAGCGGCCACCTTGCTATGGAGGAAGAATTCCCAAAGATAAATTTGAACTATACAACACATCCCAGCCGCTGGAAGTTACAGTTGTCACAGCTTATTTCAACCTTGGACGATTCCAAAAAGGATCTGGCAACTTTTTTGACAAAAATCTTTACATGAAGTGGGCGAACGTATACCAATATATTAGAAGTCCTTTTGTGTTTTATACAGATTCATCGGATACTGCTGAAACATTCAGAAAGATGAGAGCAGGATATGAAAACATTACAAAGATTTTATTGGTGGATAGAAAGTCAGTGTGGGCCTTTAATTATGTAGAACGGATTAAAGAAATATATTCAATCCCGGGTTACCCAAAGCACCACCCTAACACAGTTGTACCGGAGTATTCATGTGCCCAGCATGCTAAATATGCAACTGTTGAAGAAACCGTAGAGAAAAATTACTTCAACACAACCTATTTTGCCTGGATAGATTTGGGATATTTTAGATACATCGTTGGACGGAAGAAGGAGTTTGTGATAGTAAAACCAACTGATTTCAACGAATCTCAAATCGCAATGAACAAAGTGTACAATGTGAATATGGACGTGAAGGTGGAGAGCATCTTTAAGGGGAATCGGGTGTGGCTTGGCGGAGGGATGTTTTTTGGGTCAAAGTACACTCTCCCGACATTCATAGCCGACTATCGACACGCAGTTGAACATTACCTGAATATGTCTCTTAGTAACACAGATCAACAAGTGATTTACTCGATGAACACAATCAAAGAAAAGCCTTATGTAAGAAGACGGGTACCAATACAGCAATACTCAGCTAACACGGCCGGTGATTGCTGGTTCTATTTGGGGTTTTCATGTTACAGAGAACTATCCTGACCCCCATTATGCTAAATTTGATTAAATATGCTTGGGTTTTAAATAACAGGTGTTTACCGCTATGTAGTTTAGACCATCGCTATGTGTGAGTGAGTGTGTTTGACTTTGAGCAGCAGTTCATATACCCACAAGTCAGCGTATATGTTGGTGAAATGTCCGAAGTATGCCGCAAATGTATAACTGTGTTGAGTGTTTGTTTTTACGCCGTTTTGAGCAATATTCCAGCTATAACGCGGCTGGGGACACCAGAAATGAGCTTTACACATTGCGTCCATGTGGGGAATCGAACCCGGGTCTTCTGCGTGACGAACGAATGCTTTAACCATTAGGCTAACCGCCGACCCTAAACTGTGTTGAAACCCAAAACCCAGTAGCACATGGATGCTGCAGATAAACCAAGGTTAGTAATCCGACATCTTTATGGATTCGAACCAGGATTATGACGTACCGAAGCGTAGCAACCTGAATCTGGTAATTCCGTTGCACCGTAATATATCAAGGTCGGAGGGAAAATTTATCAGGGCATACACCTCCCATTTAACCAGGCAGCTATTTTATTACTTATGACTTTAGATTTCAACTCTCGTGTCCTTTCCTGTTTTGCAGTGCTATAATAGTGCTTTAAGAATGTCAGTGTTACTGTTGGTAGTTGTTACGTCATTGCTATTACGTCAACTTTGAGAATACATCAAGGCTGAGAGTAGAGCCGTCTCAGGTTCCGTCCCATGGTATCGTAATACAACAGATTTGTCTAAAATATCAGTTCGTTGACATTCATGTCATTACGGTATGAACATCGCTGATAAGCATACTCGTGAACTGTAGTAACTGTCCAATGTTTTAGACGTGTGATTTCACTGCTTATACTGGGATTCAGACAAACCGACTGATGCATTTTACAAACTCAGTATCTCAAAACTTGTAACTTCAATTGTTATTTTAATTTTTCTTTTACATGTGAAGTTTTGTTAAAAACGTGAAATACTGTAAACAACATATTATATATCTATGTAATAATTATATTGGCAGTCTGGAAATACATTATATTTTTCTACTCCGGATGTGCAGATGGCCTTGAAAGTATCCCAGGGAGTTACTGTGGGCTGTTAAATGGGTCCGAAAAGACTTGCCCTTTGACACGTCGCTCAGATTTGTCCATAGGCTCTAAAGGGGCCGTTGATGTGCATATATTCACACATCTCGTCAATACACATCTCGCGTGGGTTGGGTCGTGTAGGCGTGTATACGTCATATGGGAATATGTGACTGATGTCAAACTATAATTACTGCGCGGATGACATTTTAACTGTTATAAACGCAACATTTTTCATGCGTATTTTAGTGTTTAGTTAGTGTTTAGTTTAACGCAACATTACAACACTGAAGGATATTTCCTCTCATCCCATCACACCGAAATAATTTATAGCATCTTTCAGACAATATAGCTGTGCACATGAATAAAACACATACAACGTATTTTATACACCACATGATTTGCAGGTCAGGTTCATGTGCAGACGCACACACACACACACACACACACACACACACACACATTTATAGAACAAACATTCATGGTAACAATTTTCAGTCAGTACAAAGAACCCTAAACATGTTTGAGACCCTAAACATGTTTGATATGTTCAGCAGTGTATAGCGTATGAAGAAATCCACTAAACAACGACACTGCACGAATTTTGCTCCTAAACATTTCAGTTTGTCTTCAGGGAGAGATTACGGTTATTGTGACCTGACAACCATTGTCGCTGTGATTGAGGCGGAATCGCTGGGTGTTTCCCATTGACGTCATTACTTTAGTGGTTAGAGGGGCGCCAGCTATGCAAACAAGAGCTTTATGATGTCGGTGACTCGTTGTTATCTTTGGGTACGAAATATACTTTAGGTGGATTCCTCCTTAAAGTTAGACGTGTATGCTACCCATTTCTCTACCGCCGATATACCATGTGACTTTTTATCTCCAGAATTAATGACATTATTGCACAGTTAAAAAAGTCGTACAGTGACCTAGATATGTGCGCAGACAATCTTACGGAGCTAGTTCAGCAGGAGATGCGTGCTATGTTGAAAACTCGATCATATACTGTGTGTGGTGGTAACAGTAATAAAAAGCGTCGTGTGTGTAAGCCTTGGTGGAATGATGAATTGCGTGTGTTGTGGAATGAAACATGTGATGCTGAGAGAGAGTGGTGTAAATGTAAGCGTCGGGGTACTGAGAGAGTGATACTAAAACATTGTTTTGTGCGAAAGCGCAAGATGTTTGATAAAGCTGTGCAAATGGCTAAACGTGCGTATGTGCGAGAAGAAAGTAAGCGTTTGGATGAAATGTGTGAAAGTAATGACACAGACTTTTGGAAAAAGATCGGTAAGATTGGTGTGGGGGGAGACAGACGAAAACAGATTCCTATGAAAGTGATCTTAATGGATGGAAGTGTGTCTGATAACTGGAGTGATGTGTTAGAGAAATGGAAGACTGATTACTGTGAACTGCTGAATGGTGACGTCACTGTGGAGAGTGAGTGTGTTGAAGGGGGGAACATGCCTGGTGACGTACATGTGTTGTTTGACGCAAACATTACTCTTTTGGGAATAACCGCAGCTCTGGATAGAAGCCACGTTGGTAAGGCTTCGGGTTTTGATGGCATTCCCGTTGAATGTCTTAAATCAAAAAGCATTGTCACTGCTATGCATTATATTTTCAATGTTTGTTTTAATACAGGGACCATCCCTGCAACATGGTCTAAGGGCATTATTTACCCCATACCCAAATGTTCCACTCTAGATCCTATGGATCCTATGTCATATAGAGGGTTAACTATTACCAATTCCATGTATAAACTATATTGCAATGTGTTAAATAAGCGATTGCAGTCATGAGCTGATGCAACTGGTGTTATTAACGATATGCAAAACGGGTTTCGTAAACAGAGATCTACTACAGATCATATTCATTCTATTTGTTTCATCATCGAAACAAGAAATGTAATAAAAAGGAAACTTTTGCTGCTTTTATAGATTTTAAGAAGGCGTATGATTGTATTAATAGAGGTGTGCTATGGGACAAAGTGAGACATATTGGTGTAAATGGTAAAATGTGTTTAGCTCTTCAATCTTTGTATACGAATGTAAAATGTAGTGTTCGTATTAATAGTATTTTAACCCCGTGGTTCGGTGTAATTCGGGGCCTGAAGCAAGGTTGTTTACTTTCTCCAATTCTGTTTAACTTTTTCATTAATGATCTACTTGATAAACTTGGAGAAGTGGGGATTGGTATTCATGTCAAGGACACAGTGATTGCAGCTTTAGCGTATGCTGATGATTTAGTTTTACTTGCAGATTCTACAGATGATCTGAACAGTCTATTAGAGGTTTTAAATGTCCGGTGTAATGATAGTGGCATTTGTATAAATAATGAAAATTCTAAAATTGTACATTTTACGAACGTAAGTGTCAACAGAACGTGTGCTGTTTTTAATGTCGGTAGTTCCTTTTGAGATGTTGAGGATTGTTATAATTATTTGGGCCTATTGCTCACTGAACATTTAGATTATAACGCTATGGCGAAGGCAGCGGCTAAGTCTGCTAGTAGGGCATTAGAACTTTTTATTTGCAAATATAAGGCAGTCGGAGGTATGCAGTACTCTACTTATACAAAATTGTACGATACGATGGTCTGGTCGGTTCTGAGTTATGGAGCTTCCATGTGGGGTCATCGAGATATTTCATGTGTAAATTCCGTCCACCATCTTGCCTTGAGTTTTTGTTTAGGGGTGGGTAAATACGCTCCAAATGTTGCGGTTAATGGAGACATGGGCTGTATTCCTCCGTTTGTCAGACAGTTGGTATGTATTATTAGGCAATACTGCCGCTTTAACAAAATGCAATGTAGATTAAATAAATATGTTTTATATGGTCGGAGTGCACGGGTGGACGTACATAAAGCAAATTAAATTGGGTTAGGAATTGGGAATCTTTTCACAAATGTTACTGTGTTGTGGTAATATGGCATATATCTATACATGTATTAGAAATCATTAGAAATGCGTTAAATATTTACTCAAACTGTTGTCCTTACCAGAATATAGATACCTAATAGTAAGGCAATGCAAAACAGTATTGAAGACTGTAAATGTAACTGTCTGTCATGCAGTAGGCAGGTATTGAAAGGTTACTTTCTCAATGCGTTGATATGTCAGTGCTGTAATGTACTGAGACAGAACTTCATCCGTAACTACAAATATGTTCAGGAATACAAGGGTCTGTTATCATACCAGCAACACAATGGTATCACACACTGGAATGAAAATAAAGGTGCAAAGTATACCGAGTTTGTTATTTAATTTGACTATTAATTGAAAGATTTATTGTTAAATTTTGATTATGTCTATTCAACCCTCACTCTCAATGACGACCGCGCAGCAGTCAGTCAAACGTATTCTACAATGATGATTCAGGTAAAATATTCGAAATTAGGCTTATTCTGATTTAACATACTCAACCATATTTCTCATGACCGAGGGTGATTTGGCTTGCAGATTGAAATGGAACGACGCATGATAACGGACACCGCTTATAGAGAATAACCCTGCCCCTCTGGTGACAACTGTAGTAGACACGTACAATGGCAAGTGAACTGTTCACCTGACAACATATGATCATATGGTACGAGGCAAAATAAGTAACTGCCTCAGACATCGTATTTGTCATTAATGTGGTACTTTCCTCTACATGTCCATCATAAAGATTTTTAAAGGTTTCACTGAGGCTTTGGATGTGGTTACCTTCAAGAAACACCTTTTGATCAAGAGTCGCATAACGTTCAAGCATATAACGTTGCGGGATTAGAGCGGTAACCTCTCTTTAACTGTCCACAAGTCACATAATGTGATGTTGTTCATTAGGGTGAACTGATTCTCATGTGGATAAATGCCCTAACTGTGCATCTGGACCCACATCTTTGCGTGACGATACTCCCACAGGCTGAAGACGGCCTTAACGCTGAGGTCGCTTTGTGCGAGTGGGCCTTGTGGCAGATAAATGTACATGTCAAACATCCAATTATATTCGATTTTCCTTTTGTTAGTAAAGTGTTTACTTAGGAGATAAACATCATATATTATGTTGGCCAATTTCCGGGTGTTATTGAGTATTTGAAGCACGGGAATTCATTTGGAACCGACGGCGTCATTCAAATGAATTCCCGTGCTTCAAATACTCAATAACACCCGGAAATTGGCCAACACATGATGTTTATCGACATTGTAAACACAAAAGTAAACCAAAATGTCCACACACGTTTTTGTGTCTGCTCTCTTTGACATCGAGTACGGGTACAGCAGTGAAATGTCATCAGCCGGCCGTTTCGGCTGCCTCCCATGGTAGCATCTGGAACTGCTCACTTGTGACGTCATTCGGACTTTACGGCACAATATGATTTGAATGACGTCATCACAGCTGACGACGTAACAATACAATGGTGTGAGCGATGTTTGTATGTATTAATACGCAGCGAATTTCCGGGAATCGAATACCATTTGATCACGTTTTCAACCAGTCAGATTAAAGAACACAGTTACTTTTGGTTTACAATGTTCGTTATTCTATTAGTTCAATGTGCAGGCCACATCGCACACCTGCTTTCGGTTTCACACTATAGGAGTGAGTGAGTATGGTTTTACGTCGATTCTCAGCAACATTCCAACAATATCACGGTGGGGGACACCAGTCATGGGCTTCACACATTGTACCCATGTGGGGAAATGTACCCGGGTCTTCGTCGTGACGAGCGGACGCTTTAACCACTAGGCTACCCACCGTCCCTAGAGGGAAGTGAGTTATTTCCCTTAGCAGGTAGTTTTTACTTTTCGATTTGTTACACGTTACCAATTTCTGCAATATTTCATGAATTATACAAGACACATGCGAGACATCCACACGGCGGAAACTCAGTATTTTCGTAACAATAGCAAACACATGTACAGTGCATGTACAACTTCCCTGCGATGTTTTATCAGCACAGGCATGTTTAAGAAAATGTGATCAATTCTGCTGGCTTCCATTCATTCCCTCGTTAACACATACACCCTTTTATCACTATGCGTTTACACCATTACAAACCTTGTCTGATAATAAATGAGCGTTGTAGCCTATTCAGGCTGAATGCGGTTACCTCCCCTAGTGAGCCACTTTTCCTTTGAAACATACGCTCATCGCATATTGTCGTATGCACAAGTACCTCTTTCATGTATGCTATGACCAGATTTTCACGTGTTTCCAATCATGCATTCCAAAACAGATACCTCAGGAAACACGTGATCATAGAGTATTTCCAATGCATTTCTTAATTGCAATAGGTGCTGGAATTTCCGATGTCGTTCTAAGATTACTTGGGTTGGAAAGAAGGAAATTTCCTTTGGTGGGGAAACATATGTAAATTTTCAAAGTTTCAAATGTTTACACATCTTAGAAATGTATGTATCGTGCCGGATATCGAGGGTATGTATATGAACGCATTTTAAACTTCCATGTTACCGGTGAGCAAACCAAATGATCACATGTTTTCATCGCGTGAAATACTAGGTTCATGTTATTTCATTTTCACATATTTCAATACGTTTGAAATCGATCATGTGACCTTATTAATATTATTACCTGGGGAGTCTGGCGCAAGAAAGCAGTATTATGCAAGCTAACACGTATTCTGTCCTGCTACCAGTATCGGTTACGCCTTGTGCGCACTGTTGGCAAATATTGCGAGGTGCTCGTTTCGTGGGATTGATAGGTTGCGCAGCCCTTTTGTCGTCGCACAACGTAATTATCTCTATAGAATAGCCCAGCATAATTAT